GGTGGGAGGGCGGGTGGGGGGAAATGGGCACTGGTGGAGGGATGGGTATTTGATCATTGTATGACCGAAACTCAGGCACAAAGATTTGTAAATCTACAACTGTACCTCATGGTGCTTCACTAATAAAAAAAAAAAAAAGAAAAGAAAAAAAGAAAAATGTTTACCTTGAATCTAATAAGTGCATTAATAAAAGCTTGTTATCATTATCTTATAATCACTAATAATCACATAATAAAGTACAACATTTTTTACTGTTGTATATGATATATGGGCTGGAGCGAATAGCACAGGGCATTTGCCTTGCAAGCGGCCAACCCAGGTTTGATTCCTGCATCCCTCTCAGAGAACCCGGCAAGCTACTGAGAGTATCCCTTTCACAGCCTGGCAAGCTTCCCGTGGTGTACTGGATATGACAAAAACAGTAACAACAACTCTCACAATGGGGACATTACTGGTACCCCACTGGAGCAAATCGTGAACAATGGGATGACAGTGCTACAGTGCTGCATGATATATTACTGTTAAATTATATACAATGTATGTCATGTTATATTATATGCAACATTTATATATAACAATGTATATATTATATAACCCATAATTTATTACACATAATTATTTATATAAAAATACATATACGATGGGCTAGAGCAATAGTACAGTGGGTAGGGCATCTGCCTTGCACGCGGCTGACCCGGGTTTGATTCCTCTGCCCCTCTTGGAGAGCCCGGCAAGCTACTGAGAGTATCTTGCCCGCATGGCAAAGCCTGGCAAGCTACCCGTGACGTAGTCAATATGCCAAAAACAGTAAGAAGTCTCACAATTTGTTGTGAGATGTTACTGGTGCCTGCTCAAACAAATCAATGAACAACGGGGTGACAGTGACATATATGATAATATATTTATATATACATAACACATTATAAATATATGTTGTTTATTGCTATGCTGTAATGTTATTAATAATAATATAAATGCAAATTTGTAATAATTTTTAATTTTAAGAGAATAATTCCAACCATCACTTAATCACTTAATCCCCGTTATTCATCGATTTATTCGAGCGGGTGCCAGTAACGTCTCCATTCATCCCGGTTGCATACTAGCATAGCCCAATGGTATCTGTTCGTTCTAGGAACATGCAGAGCCTCAAACCGATCATTTAGGGTCTTGACGAAGAAGTTTGACCATCTTATAGGTGGGCGTCCACGTGATCTTTTGATGTCCCGTGGAATCCAATCAGTAATGGCTCTAGTCCAGCGGTTGTCTGTAAACCTCATTACGTGTCCAGTCCATCTGATTTTTGATGTCTTGGCAAATGAGACAGCGTCCCTGATTCTTGAGCGTTGACGAAGATCAGAACTCCGGATTCTATCTCTCATTTGAGTGAATCGTGATATTCCAAGCATAGTTCTTTCGATTCCTCTTTGAGAGACCCGAATAGCGTTCTCATCCTGTTTTCATAGGGTCCAAGTCTCTGAGGCATATGTTAATGCAGGAAGAATAGTGGAATCAAAGAGATGTGCTCGTAGCTGGAGGTTCTTTGTCCTTTTAGTTGTTTCTTCAATGCTCTTGAAGGCATTCCAAGCCGCTCTCTTCCTCCTGCGCAACTCAGGTGCCAGGTCATTCATCATGTTGATTTCTCGACCTAGGTATATATAACTGTTGCATTCGAAGATGGTGGTTCCATTGAGAGCGAATGGAGCGTCAGGAACAAGGCTGTTTCTCATAAACATTGTCTTCGTAAGATTCAGCTGTAGTCCGACCTTTTCACATTCACGGTCAAAGTCGTTCAGCATTTGTGCCGCTTGGCTGATGTTTGGTGTTATTAGAACGATGTCATCAACAAAGCGGAGGTGGTGTAGTTGCCAACCATCTATCTTCACTCCCATGTTTTCCCATTCCAGTCGTCGCATGATGTTCTTGAGGGTGGCACTGAAGAGTTTTGGTGAAATGGTATCACCCTGCCGAACCCCTCTCTTGATATGGATGATTACTTCTTTGTAGAATGGTGAGATTTTGGTAGTGAATCCGCAATAGAGCTCACGAAGGATCCTGATGTATTGAGTTTGTACGCCCTGATTGGCTAGGGCTTCCATGACCGCTTCCGTCTCAACAGAATCAAAGGCCTTCTTTAAATCAATGAACTTTAGACAGAGCGGCATCTTGAACTCCCGAGATACCTCAATGAGCTTGGTTATTGTGTGGATATGGTCGATGGTACTGAATCCTTTTCGGAATCCAGCTTGTTCACATGGTTGTCCTTCATCTAGTGTTCTGCTAATCCTATTCAGGATGACTCGAGTGAATAGTTTGTAGATGACAGACAATAGGCAGATTGGGCGATAGTTGCCAATGTCGTGGATGTCTCCTTTCTTGTATAGTAGTACAGTTCTGCTAGTTTTCCATTGGGATGGAACCTTGCATTCAGACAGGTAGCGTGTGAAGAGTCGAGCCAATGTATTGATGAGTACTGATGGTAAGTTCTTCAGGTGTTCAGGTCTGATCTTGTCTGGGCCAGGTGCTTTTTGTTTCTTTATCGACGAGATGGCATGTTGGATTTCGGAAGGGAGAACATTGGGAACGACATATCCATCATGTGGTATGTGGTATGTGGGCAAGTAGATGTGGCTATTAAAGAGATCTGAGTAGAAGTCATGAATAATCTTCTCCATTGCCCTTCTGGAAGATGTGATAGATCCATCATGATGTTGGAGGGCAGTCATCTTGGTTTTGTAGTTGGTGAAGGACAGGCGGGCATTACGAATGTTTTTCCCAGCTTCTGCTGCATCTACCAGTACTGCTGCTCTCCTGTTTTTGAGGTCATCCTTGATGGCTTCTCTGCACTGTTTTGCCAGTTCGGATGTTCGCTTGTGGTTGCCTGAGGCATGTGCCAAGCCACGTTGGGGAATAAGTTCAAGAGTGTTCGAAGAAAGACGGTTTTTTGTGGTTATCTCTCTCTTGGCATTCCTTGCACAATCATGGAGGTGCTGAATCATTCGATTGTATTCCTCATCAATGTTGTCAATGACGGCATCTTCCCATGTTGCCGCAATAGAGCCAAAGAGCTCCCAGTTGGTGGTTGTTCTGGGAGTCCACTTCTTAAACCTTGCATTCTTTTCTCCTCGTTCTGTGAGGTAGAATTTTGCACGAAGAAGACGGTGGTCTGATCCCGTTTGGAATTTTGGGAAAACAGCAACATCGGTTAGGCAAAACCGCCGATTGAATATGATGTGGTCTATTTCATTGTGGAACCGTCCATCGGGAGACTCCCTTGTCCAACGTTTAGATTCAGCCTTTTGGAATTGTGAGTTACCATGGAAGGTTTTGGTTGACATGATGAACTCAGACAGTCTGTCACATTGTTCGTTCCATTCCAGGCCATGGGTTCCGATGTGGGGTTCATCCACTGGTCCTATCTTGGCATTAAAATCACCGACAATGATCTTGTAGAAGGTGTGATCTTCTTTATAGAACTTCTCCAGCTCCATGTAGAATTTCTCAGTTTCTCTTTCACCATAACTGGATGTTGGTGCATAGACAACAAAGATAGAAACTGCCGGTAGTGAGCCACATTTATTCAAGTGTAATCGTCCGATTCGGGTTGTTAGGCATTCGAATGAATCAATGCTCATGACTAAGTTTGTGTTGACAAGGATACCAACACCACCGACGCCTCTTTTATCACATGTTCCAAGGAACAGTTCTTCTCCAGTGTCGAAAATAGCATGATGGGATTGATGTCTTCTCGTTTCGGTCAGACCAATGATGTCGTACTTGATCTTTCGCGCTTGTACCATAAGGTCTTCAATGGATGCAGTAGATGCCAGCGTACGAGCATTAAAAGTACATTCCAACCATATCTTTTGAAATAACCTCAACGACTTACTTGGATGTCAGGGTCGCAATTACTAAGTCATTCTATAACTGAATCATACCATTCTCTCTCCATATTTCTCTATTATATAGAAAGAACCAAGTACAACTTCCATTTTTTAGAATTATTAATACCAATTGCAAAATCTTAATTTAAGGGGCCATAGAAATAAGGGACTTCTGCTTTCCCTGGAATCCCATATGGCCCCTTGAGAGCCCCCAGGAGTGATTCCTAATACAGAGCCAGGAGTAATCCTTGAGCATCAGGTGTGGCCAGGGGTGTCCCCCAAACAAAACAAACAAAAATCTGAATTTGAATTCGCTGACATTAAAAATTGGCAGTTAATGCTATCACTATCACCCCGTTGCTGATCGATTTGCTCGAGCGGGCGCCAGTAATGTCTCCATTCGTCCCTGTCACGTGCTAGTGTAGCCCAATGGCATATTGGGGGCTCTTTAAGGATCAGGGGAATGAGGACCATCATTGTTACTGTTTTTGGCTTATTGACTACGCCACGGGTAGCTTGTCAGGCTCTGCCATGTGGGAGGGATACTCTCGGTAGCTTGCTGGGCTCTCTGAGAGGAAATGGAGGCTTTGGGGGCAGCCTCTAATCACCTTTACAGGTGTTCCCAGTCAGGCATATATGTGGGCAGGATACTCTCAGTAGTCTGCCGTGTTCTCTGAGATGAGAACTAGAGAATAAGAGGTCGCGTGGCCACTTCCAGGACCTTGGTTTTATAGTCTCTGGATCCTGGTCATTGATGGGGTTACACAACAGTTGGTGGGTGTAACTGTCTAGCTACTGGAAGATGGGAGATCTGGGTGGAGGAGGCCCAGTCCCAAACCAAGATCTCAGTCCTGGGTCCCGCACACCAGGATTCCTCTGCCGGTTCCTTCATGCATGAGGCTCATCTGAGCATGTGGAGAGTTGTCTCAGCATGGCTGTGGCTGGGTCCTAGAGGTCTGTAGCTGCCAGGGCTCTGATCAGGGTGGAGAGGGAAACTTAATGTGCCCTCCTCCAAAGGGCCCTGGTGAGGACAGCCAGGCTTGGGGGCAGGAGACTCTGCTAATAAGTTAATGCTAATAAGATAAAAATTATTTTCTAAGAATACACCTCACTGACCTGATGTAAGGCAAAGCAGGGTCAACGTGGTGAAGGACGATGGCAGTGATATATGAAAATATGAAAGCAGCAGCTGTCCAAATGACAAGGGCTGAAGGAAGGAAACTGAGGCCTTGCTGAAACCACCACATTTCAAACTGATTTTCTAAAGCAGAAACACAAATTAGAAAAGATTAGTCACAAGTCTTCCTGGATTCTTTAGCCATGCAGGCCCACAACCTCATATTTAACCAACAAAGGGTCCTTTTACACTTCTACAACCATCCCCCAATGCATGTACTAACACCAGTTCTTCTTCACATTCTCAGTAAATGGAATCAAGACCCAGCCACTTGCCATATCCAGAAACTTTCTCCCCATCATTCCAACATAATCAAGTACTAAGACTATTTCACCTCTTACATTTCCTTCACAGCTCTTTCTCTCCATCTTTACTGCCTAAACTACCATTATTCCTTGTAGATTATAATTATAGCCTCCTAAATGGTCCTCCTTTAGTCTGGAACCACACAAATCTTGACACCACCTTTACCCCCGAAGGAGTCTTCTTGCTCTAAAATAACAAACTGACCATCTTGCTCTACAAAGACAAATTCTGTGCCACTCTTATGTCTCCTTATACATTCTTCCTTTACGTACACTTTAAGGTCCTTACATTCTCAGATCTCCAGTCACCTTCCTAGATTTATCTCTGGGTCATTTTTATCTCTGGGTCATTCTGCTCCCAATTCCTTCTCTAGCTATCATCATCTCCACTATCATGACAAAGGAAGTTAGCTGGTGTTTTGTCCTTGTTAAGTCATGTCACTAAGCACTTAAAAACATGATCTCCTGCAGAGGCATCTCAACAGAATTACACACCTTAAGAGAACTGTCCGAGTAGTCAGGATACAAACTCAAGCAGTTCCTCCTAGCACCAAATCACTACACCCTCAAGTCATAGGAAACTTCGATCAGATCTTCCCATGCATCCTGATCTCTAGCCCATCTAAAGACTTTCAAACACATCTTCCAGTAGGTACTACTAGAGCAGTTTTATCTGACTGTACCCCCTTCTGACCTTATTTCCTTGCTGGGAGCACCCTGTCCTACTGGTTGACCCCAGAGTCCAGTACCGTGTGCCACCCACCCCATTTATGCATTGCCCCGCCCCCCCGCCCCATAACATACTGGGGATGCATAGAGGGCTGTGGGGTCCCTACTTTGAATTAGACCTCTTTGCTCTTACCCTTTCCTTCCCACTCCCAACCTACACATTTCAAGTCCAACTTCTTTAGATTCAGTTGGCTGGCTTTGTTTCCAGTAATCGCCTTTACTTGCCCAAACATGGCACTTACCAAACTTAACTGTTATTTGCTTGTTTGGTTTCTGTCTTCCTCACTTAATTTTAAGGTCAATGACAGGAGGCGCCTACTCTTTTGTTCACCATTTCCAGTTCCTACATGAGAGGGAGACAAAAGCAGAAAACGCTTAAATAAAGACCATGTATGACCGCTTATACTTTAGGCTGCGGATATTAGTGAGGAATAATGACTCAGTAACATATATGTATCTGCACTTAATTAAAAATAAATATTATTAATTTTTGGAGGCAGGGGAGCTTCCTCTTAGTCTGACAAACTAAAAATCAGTATTTCCTACAAATTTTATAGGCGCTTCCAACTTTTACCTCCGCCCTCCTATAATGTACTCCTGCTTCCGTATATTAAGCTGACCTTTTCAATATCGAAATCATGGTCATTTCTGAGTTATTTTTGTCATTTACTCAATCATCTGACTTACTGCTAAACATGCACATTTCAATCTTGCTTAATAAGTTTCTTTTCCTTTTTCCTTGCAGTAACTATTAGAAGCTTGATGTAAGTAAATTCCTGCCTGGATTATCACACATCTCCTTTCTGTTCCTTATCTCTGACCAATTCTTAACATTCCACTATCTTATTTTTTCTTCCTCTAGTTACCACTCATTTCTTTAAGTACTACTTTGTTTATGGCAATTCCTAACTACTGTACTTAGGAGTCTTGTTCCCCCTTTGTTGTTTTGCTGAGGTGCGAGCCTCAGGCAACCACAAGCAAATATCGAGCTCACAAAGCAGTGCACAGAAACGATAAAGGAAGACCTCAAAGAGAGAAGAGCAGCAGTGCTGGCAGATGTGGCAGAAGCTGGGAAAAGCATTCACAATGCCTGCCTGTCCTTTGCCAACTACAAGACCAAGATGACTGCCCTCCCACGTCCTGATGGATCTATCACAACTTCCAGAAGGGCAATAGAGAAGATTATCCATGACTTCTACTCGGATCTCTTCGATAGCCACATCCACCTGCACACATACCAAATTCCTCAGGATGGATATGTTGTTCCCAACCGTGTGCCTTCTGAAATCCAACATGCCATTTCGTTGGTAAAGAAGCGAACAGCACCCGGCCCAGACAAGGCCAGACCCAAACAGCTGAAGAATCTGCCGTCAGTACTCATCAATACATTGGCTCGGCTCTTCACATGCTACCTGTCTGAACGCAAGGTTCCATCCCAATGGAAAACCAGCAGGACCGTTCTACTGTACAAGAAGGGAGACATCCATAACATTGGCAACTATCGGCTGATCTGCCTGTTTTCTGTCATCTATAAGCTGTTTACTCAAGTCATCCTGAATAGGACTGGCAGAACACTAGATGAAGGACAACCATGTGAGCAAGCCGGGTTCTGCAAAGGATTCAGCACGATCGACCATATCCTCACGGTAACCAAGCTCATTGAGGTTTCTCAGGAGTTCAAGGTGCTGCTCTGTCTAACGTTCATTGATTCAAAAAAGGCCTTTGATTCTGTTGAGACTGAAGCAGTCATCGAAGCCCTAGCCAAACAGAGCATTCAAACTCAATATATCAGGATCCTCCATGAGCTGTATTACTGATTCACTACCAGGATTTCACCATTCTACAAGGAAGTGATCATCGACATCAAGAGAGGGGTTTGGCAGGGTAATACCATTTCACTGAAACTCTTCAATGCCACCTCGAGAATGTCATGCGACAACTGGAATGGGAAGGAATGGGAGTGAAGATAGAGGGTTGGCAACTACACCACCTCCTCTTTGCTGATGACCTAGTTCTAATAACACCAAACATTAGCCAAGTAGAACAAATGCTGGCTGACTTCAACCATGAGTGTGCAAAGGCTGGACTGCAGCTGAATCTCATGAAGACAAAGTTTATGAGAGACGGATTCATTCCTGACATTCCATTTGCTCCCAACGAAGCGAACATCTCCGAATGCAGCAGTTATGTGTACCTAGGTTGAGAACTCAACATGACGAATGACCTGGCACCTGAGTTGTGCAGGAGGAAGAGAGCGAGCAGCTTGGAAAGCCTTCAAGAGCATCAAAGAAATAGCTAAGAGGACGAAGAACCTCCAGCTCCTGGCACATCTCTTCAACTCCACTGTTCTTCATTCATTAACATACACCTCTGAGACCTGGGCCCTCGAAAACAGGATGAGAATGCTATTTGGATCTCCCAAAGAGGAATTTAAAGAGCTATGCTTGGAGTATCACGCTTCACTCAAGTGAGAGAAAGAATCCAGAGTTCTGACCTCCGTTGACAATCGAGAATCAGGGACACTGTCTCATTTGCCAAGGCATTAAAAAATCAGATGGGCTGGAGACATAATGCAATTTGGAGATGACTGCTGGACTAGAGCCGTTATCGACTGGATTCCAAGGGATGTCAAAGGATTACGTGGCCCCCACCTACGAGATGGTCAGACTTCTTCGTCAAGACCCTGAACAATTGGTTTGAGGCTCTTTGTGTTCCTGGAGGGAGCAGGCCTCCCATGCTCTTACCAAGTGACAGCAATTCTACCTCCAGTTATTAGTAACCACTCAACTTCCCAATGTGACAAGTCAGATTCTCAATTCTTGTTGTCACATGTTTATTTTTTCTCTTTTCCCATAGTCCAGTCCATAAGTACTGTCAACTTAACATTCCTAATCATACTTTTACTCAAAAATTTTTTCAAAGAGAACTGTGACATGAGGCCAAAGTGATAGTACAATGGATAGGACATATGCCTTACATGCAATCAACTGAGGTTAGATCCCTGGCACCCCATATGGTCCCCTAAGTACTGCCAGGAGTGATCCCTGAGTGCTGAGCCAGGAGTAAGCCCTGTGGACTGCCAGGTGTGGCAATAGAAGGAAGGAAGGGAGGGAGGGAGAAAGGACTTAAATAAAAGTTCAAACCTCTCTGAACCAGTTTCCTTTTGAAAAATGGGTATAATGCTGGTGTGTCCAATACAGTAGCCATGAGCCCATTTGTTGTTATTTAAATTACATTTCCAATTAAAATAAAATTTAAAACTTCAAGCTTCAGTTAGGCTAACTATACTTCAAGTGCTACACCTTTAGAGTTGGTGTCATACAAGAGTAGTAAAAACACAGAAATTTTTATGGAAAAGTTCTGCTGAATGGTATGGGAAGTTACTGCAGGAACTGGACTAATATCTCACAGTAAAGAATTTAATGCATCACTACAGGATAAATGGTAGCTTGTAGTACACCTGCTTCATAGAAAATTATTCAAGAATTAAATGAAAGGCCAGAGAAATAGCACAGCAGGTAAAGTGCATGCCTTGCATGAGGCTGACTGGGGTCTGATCCTTGGCATCCCATATGATTCCCTGAGTCCTGCCAGGAATGATCCTGAACACAGAGCCAACAGTAAGCCCTGAGAACAGCCAAGTGGGACCCAAAACCAAAATAAATAAATACATAACCTAATAAGTAGTTAATAAATGAATTTTGTTTAAAGAAATGCAAACAATGAATGACCTATTTTACATGTTTACAAACTATCAGTCTTCATAACTGTCCAAACTTGCACCTTTAATCGTGGAATCCACATAGAAAGAAAATAAAAAATTGTTTCAAGCTACTTACTTTTAAATATGTATAATTTCAAATCAATGTGCAAATATAAATCATGGGTAGAACACTATATGTTAGCATAATGTGTAATGGGCAGAACATTATTTATTTTTTTAAAGTCAATACTTGTATTTCCTATTGGTGTTGTAGAATCTGGAATTAAACAATAGTCTTAATCTAGAACATCAATTTTCTTATTCATTCTCACATTAGACACCTTTCATTGTCATCAAAAAGGATAAAGAGAAAACCATTTTCTTCTGTGAAAGACAAAGATCAGAAAAGAATGACAGCTAATCATTAGACAAAATAACGCATTAACTGGTCTGTGTGAGCTAATGAAAAGAACACAACCATGAGGTCAGATTTATCTAAATGCAAATTCTAGCTTTAGTGCCTTCCAATGCTTGGTTTCAGCACTGACTGATCTTCCTTCCAGGGGGTAAGGTATTCCAACTTATGAAGCAATTACCTCCAAGGCTGGTTCCCCAGAACAAGTGGCACACAATAAACACACAATGCTATGAAAGTTAATTTTTTAAGTGTGTACAATTATAACTAGCCATGGAGCATGAAAAGAAATACCCACTTCTTTATATTATAGCCTGAAATATCTTGGATTCCAATCTCCTTAGATTTTTTTTTAATTATTTTAAGATACCAAGATTTACAAAGTTATTCATAGTTAAGTTTTAGATATACAAAGTTCCAGAACCAAATGTGTCAAGTTCCCTCCACTAATGTTTCCAGGTTCCCTTCCATATGGCAACCTCCAGGCCCCAAGCCTATCACCTTGATGGGTACCTTTTTGAGTTCAGTTGTTAAAGTTTGGGTAACATGATTTCAGATTGTTGACCGTGGTTAGATATTTAGCTCTATCATTCCTAAACACCACCAATGTAGATCTCCTTGGATTTTAAGGGTTTTGGTTATTTAAATAGAGGCAGGGATAGAAGAATTTATCAGTTTGCTAATGATAACTGAGAAATGTAGATGCATGGGTAGGTGATTACCATAATAATTCATGAATTTTCAATTCATGGCTAGTTAAAATTTTCAATTTTCATAGAAATCTGGAAGCATGACAGACTAGGTGCTAATCAAGCCAACCGGAAATGTAATTGTTAATAATTTAAGAAACCTTTCAAAATATCCAAAGATATCCAGGATTAACCTTCATATACTGCAAGTGTTTAACAAAAGATTCTTGCATCTCTTCCCTTTTTTAATCTCTGCTTTCTCTGAAGATCCATGAAACAGAAAGTCAGACACCATTTTCAATTTTCTCAAGTGTGAACCACCACTGGCAATTTGATCTATTCTTTATACTATTCTCCTCTATTGAGACGCAATATCCAGATGTAAATTCTGGATATTCCAAGTGAAGAGAGAAAGTCCTAAACTTATTTTGAGGTACAACATACCACCAGACCCAAAGCAAAGAATGACAGAAAATGATTTTTTAAAAATATAACTTGCCTCTCAGCAAATGTTATATAGTACATATAAACACATGTCATTTAATTCTCTCTGAGTTCACTGTTGCATATATATTACTCCTGGCTCTGTGCTCTGGGTTCACTTCTCGTAGGATGAAGGGATAATACAGAACACATGGGGTGCCAGAGATCCAACACTCTACTGGCTATACAATCACTACGGCTGTCAACAAACGTTAATATTCTTGTAAAATCCTAAAGCATCCGGCAGTGTAACTTAAAAACTGAATCCGAAGTTTCAGGAAATAAATGAGAAAGAAGCTTAAGTTGCATTGCAACTGACATATGCGCATCTGGCCACCAACAAACAAATTAAAAATTGCAACAAAGGGAAAAATCATGCCGGCGGTTGTAGTTTCTATTTCCCAAACGTACCCGCGGTGGCTGTTGTTAGAGCGCAGCAGTGAAGATACACATAGGATTAACTACCACCTGGATCCACCCCCTCGTGCTAGAATTGCGCGTGGCTGACCAGACTAGGAGTAAACACAAGGTCACCAAGGATCTCAATTTCAAACTTTCCCCTTCACCCGCCACCCCGGAATCTGAGTCCAAGGACACCTGAAACGCGTCCTCGAGCCGCACGCAGTTTTTTGTGGGGCCGGGAGAAAGGTCCTCAAAGCCGGTTTTGTAAAACATATACATATATGTGTGCACACACACATGCATATGAACTGCGACCGCTGTCTCGTTCCGGGGGCAACGAACTAGGAAAAGCACCGCAGCTCCGATTTGCCAGTGGCGGGGGAATGGGCAAAAGGCGGAGTTTGTCCCCGCAGGGAACGAGGATGGGGGTGGAGCGCGGAGAGGACCCAGGACGTGGACCGCAAGGTGAGCCCGGGAGCCCGGAGCCCTACCCGCCCCCGGGGCTCCGGGGTCCGCCTGGGCTCCCGCCACCCGCTCAGCCTCCCCCGCGCCGGGCACGGAGCAAACCCCGGAGGCTGGGCGAGCCGACACGCGACAACCACGCTGGCCGCGGGGCTCTGGGCGGTGCCCCCGGCCGGAGCCGCCCTCTCTGAGTCCCCATTACTGAGCCCCGGATAGCGCCGAGGTAGGTGCTCCCCCTCCCTCGCGGCCTACCTGACTCGGGAAGACCCCACCGGCGCGGGGTGCAGGGCGGCTGCGAGCCCGCGGGCACAGACGGAGACGGGGCGGGGCCCGGAGCGCGCTCCCGAGCAGCCGGGCCGGGCCCGGGGCGCGCTCGCCGGCCGCGGGAACGCGCCCGCGCCGCCGCGCGCTCCCCCCCAGTATCCCTTTACGGCAGTCGTGAAGGTGTCGCGAAGCTCGCTGCCGCCGATCGGAGTCACCCGGTAGGCTGGAGTCGGCGGTCTTATTCCTAGGGGCGCGCTTCGGGGGCGCAGGGTAAGGCTGCGGGGCTCGCCGTGGGGAAGGCCTGCGGGGCGCGAGGAGCGTGTTTGGGGGCACGGCCGGCCCAGGGGCTGGAGCGGCGGCTCCCGGCTTCGGGTGGGGCGCTGGACGGGAGCGGTGCGCGGAGCGGAGGGAAGCGAGCGCCGTCCTTCCTCGGGAGGGGTGGCCCTGCCGCCGAGGTGCGGGACGAGCGCGGGGCCGGGCCCCGCTGCAGGGACGCGGGGTGGCGGGCGCCGGAGCGGGGACGACCTGCCCCGGCCGGGGGGTGGGGGCGCTGCCCGCACGGAGCCGACCTTGCCTGTCAGCTCCACGCCCTCCTGCCCGGGCGCAGCCGAGTCTACCGACCGGCTCCGCCGGAGTGCGGGGCCGGCGGTGTGTCGGGGGTGGGCCCTGCCTTGGGGGCTCGGCAGCTGGTCGGGAGATTTCAGCCAGTACTGACGAGCTCCGAGGGCGCCCGCGCTCGTCAGCCGGGGCGGATTCTTGGAAGGAGAAAGGCCCGGGCGAGCGGCGGAGCCGTGCCCGGTGCCCGGGGGCGCTCGATGAATGGGTCTCCAGCAGGCGGGGTGGAACTTGTTTTCGCCAGTTGGGCGCTTTGGGTTCTTTTCTGGGTGTCACTTTGTTGGTGTTGGCATTTCGAAACGTCAGTATTGAGTGTCAGGCTTCGAGTCTCTCTGATTTCCTTGTAGGCACGTTTAGCAAACTGCTCTGACACTAGTAGGATCTTGCGCTGTGTGTGTGTGTGTGTGTGTGTGTGTGTGTGTGTGTGTGTCGAATTGGCTTGATGACATAGGTGGTCATGTAAAATCTCAGAGATTTAGCTCGTAAAAAAGCTAGTCAGAGTCCCTCGCGTGTATCTTGTCTTCTCACGCTGCCACACTTCCATTTTTAATAATTCAGCTAAAGCTGCCTCGTAGTAGTATTAGTCTGTTTGAACAGAGGGTCCTCTTGGTTTCTAAACCACACCCGGTGTTCTCAGGGCTTCCTTGCCGGCTCCGTGCTCAGGTAGGGAGCGCCTCGGAAGGGCTCCGGAAGCCTTTTGTGGTCCTGGGGAGTCAAACCCAAGTCTGCCGCATTCAAGGCAAAAGCCCTACCCGCTGTGCTTCTATCCAACTATGACTTTAATTTGTAAGGGATAGGAAAATCATCTATAAATTGTCAGGCTTTCGCGTCTTTTATTTTTCTGGAGGAAGGTATTTCCTTTTTTTTTTTTTTAGGAACACAAGATTTCACTTCAGTAAAACAGTAGACTTAAATTGTATTACACAGTACTGCTTTAGCCTCCAATACTGCTGATAAAAGGCTTTTTTGTATTTGCTAACTTGTTCTTCTGTGTATCACTTGTTAAATAATGTTGAGTGTAATCCTGTGAGCCTATTTGCATTTTTTTTTTTTGCTGTTTATAATTTCTTCTGCTTCCCCAGGAATGTTGCCCTTTAGTCTTGTCATAAAGGTTGGAAAGGGCTGTGTAGTCACTAGGTCCTGTGAAAGAACTGTAAACATACTGCTGAATCAATGCAGCTCAAAGATTTGGCACTGGGTGCAATGGGAGGATGGGGATTTGGATTTTTACACCAAAGGTTGGATGTTGTATAAGCTTACCTTTTGCTCTTAAGGAGCAGTTGGATATTTATTTTTTAATATGACATTTGCCAGCTGTAACTCAGTACTGAACACAGATTAAAACAGCATGCCCTTATCCTCTGCTGCTATTGCATAGATGTTCTGCATCAGAGATTTAAGGTCCACAGGGTGTGTGTAATTTTAGTAGAGGTGTCCCTTAAATATCCCCAGTTGTATTTTTGTACCATTATACTTTAACATAAATATTCATGCCTGCACAAGGAGAATAGTTTGTTGGACCATATGTGTCCCCTCCTCTGGACTCCCAGAACAGTTTGTTCACAACCTATTGTAACTTAGCTGTTTTCAAGAAGGCCCCCGCCCCAATCACCCTCTTTGAACTTTCGTTGTGAGCATGTGTGGCATATTCAGACTTTCTGTTTATTCTGGCTCAAGGACAACTAGGTACGCATTTGATCCTCAACAAATCATATTTTGTTTGTTATTTCACAAATAAGTACTGATTACCCACTTGGTGTACAGTGCAGGTTGAGATTCAGGGGAAAAGAATGTTCAGGCAGAGCTGGTCCCCATACGCGTGGAGCTTACAGACTGTTGTGGGAGAAGGAACAAAGAAGGCTCAAAATGTGATAAGTTCTATGAAAGGGAAAGGAACTCAAGCTATGATTTATAGCTATGAAGAGAGGGGAAATTGTTGCTTGCAAGTGGAATGGTTGCTTTAAGTAAGAATGCGATCAAAATTGCATACTGAATGCCAGGTGATAAGGTCTTTATATATATGTGTATATATATACACAAATATATGTGTATATATACACACACATATATATATATAGTTTAAAATACTTTCACTGTCACGATTTATAATGAAATCCACAGTTAACTGGACCCAAAATTGCAGGTTTACTTATAAGCCACAGGTGGCTTTCCATAATTAAGAATAAAATCTTATAATTCTATACCATGTTCTGTCATCCTTTGCATTGACTGGGTGGCATTTCAAGCTTCATTTTGTCCCACTCTCATCTGTTTGCCTCTTACCTCACCTTGAGATTGCTAAGGAACCTGGACTCGAAAGCTCCTTCTTGCCTCAGGACTTGTCACTTTTCTTGAACTTCCCTCTTTCCTGCTCTTGGAATTGCTTGCTTCTCCTCTTCCTCTGAATTAGGTGTAAAAGCTCCTTCTTCAGAGACTACAACCATATTTGAAATATGCCCTTTACTGGCCACACACTTGTTTTCCTCATAGCACTCAAACAGTGCAGAATGTTATTTACATGTTTGTATTTTTAATTATTTTCCCATTGGTAAAGGGAGCTGGGACCATGTCTGACTTATGTATCACATTCAGATATTGGCTGGGTGCATTTGGAACTTTGAATCTAGTTTCTTATAAAACCTCACAGGTGGTCATGCTTCTAGGTTAACCAGCAATAATTTTCATTAATTACATAATTTTTTTTTGGTTTCTTATAGTGTGGAAAGAGGACACTTACACTCTTAACACTCCTTTAGGCAAAAGTCTGACTCTAGAAAAATAGGATCACAAATGGCTAGAATATTGTTTTAATGTTTATATCTACATATTCCTGTCCCAGTTCTTCCTCTCTCAATCCAAACTTTCTATTACAACCCCCCTCCTTCTCTGGTTCCCTTGAAAAGATTCTGTTTGCTGAAATTCAAAAGCTGCTGTTTTTGTTTTGTTTCCTGACTGTGCTTCCATGTGGCTGTGCTCCCTTGTGGCTGTGCTCAGGGATCACTCCCAGTAGGGCTCTGGGGACCAGATGGGATGCTGGAGATCAAATCCAGGTCAGGCCCTGTGCAGGTCAGGCACCTTTACTGCTCTCTCTCCAGCTTCTTTTCTTCAAAAGGTTTCCATAGCACTAGTTTGTGAGTCTCAGTGTGATTGGAAAGAGTAGAGATGAACCACAATGGGTCCAGCAACTTCTTAGTCATCTGTATGGTTCCAGCGGAGTAGCTGTGTCTCTGTGTCAGAAGTAACAAGGATGTGAATTTATATTTGTAATCTTGTTTCTAATCGCTTCATAGACACAGTGTTACCGACCTTCAAAATCTCTGGCTTCCCCCCCCCCCCCATGAATTATATAATGGTTAAATCTAGAAAGGCTTGTCAAAATGTAGATTTTCCTAAAAGAAAATAGAAGGTTAAAATAAAATTAGGCCAAGGAAGGGAAACACTCTCAGAAGGAAAGTATCAGTTTATCAGACAGTCCTGCCAAATGTTCAAACTTAAAACCATTAGGATCAGTTGCTTGTAGCTGTTTAGTGCCAAAAACGGATCAGCACTCACAGTATGTCAGATTCCCGCGCTCCTCCCCCCAGTCTTGGAGAATGGAACAGCACAAAATGTGAATCGATTTATTAAATTATTTCTATTTTAAATGGAATTCCAAAAAGCTGACTAACTCATTAAAAAAATTTTTTAAGATAATCAAATCTCACAATGATTGCTTCATTTTGTTTTGTTTTATTTTATGGGCCATACCAGATGGTGCTCAGGGATAACACCTGGCTCTGCACTCAGAAATCATTCCTGACACACCGCAGGGGACCTTATGGGGTGCTGGGGATTGAACCCGGGTTGGCTATAACCCAGGTCAGCTGCTTGCAAGGCAAATACCCTAACCATTGTACTATCTTCAGACCCTCATAATGACTGTTTCTGAATTAATTATGAG